CTCCTCCCAGTTTGGTATCATCAGCAAACTTGCTGAAGGAGCACTCTGTGCCTTCATCCAGGTCATTGATGAATAAATTGAACAGGACTGGGCCAAGGACTGACCCCTGGGGGACCCCGCTAGCTACAGGCCTCCAACTAGACTCTGCACCGCTGATCACCACCCTCTGGGCCCTGCCATCCAGCCAGTTCCTAATCCATCTCACTGTCCACTCATCTATCCCACACTTCCGGAGCTTGCCCAGGAGGATGTTGTGAGGGACGGTGTCAAAAGCCTTGGTGAAGTCGAGATAGACGACATCCACCGCTCTCCCCTCAAATGCTTGGTAGGCTACATTGGTCTCCCCTCAATGTGCTTGGTAGGCTACATTGGTAGCTGTTATTATTCTTGGGTCAACCTAGTCCTAACTATTTGGATACCAATGCTCTTTATATAGAACCCTTGCTGCAAGGAGCTACTTTCTGACTAGCCAGAGCCCATGGGGACACAGCAGGTCAATCCCATCCCTGTGGCCACGGCAGATCTCCTGCCCTCGCTGTGCTAATAGAGCTGTTTGAATCCACAGCGGGCACAGGGGAAGATTGTCTCTTGCTAGAAAATACACAGCTAGCCTGGATCTCTATGTTTATGTAGCAACAGGGGACTATTGTTCTGTAAAAGCAGGCTGTTGTGCTGACATGACTTCCTTGTTATTCAGTTTGGTTAAATAACTCAACTCCCCTTTACCTTCTTCCTGCACAGCAGGCTGCAGGCTGCACAGCATAAGCAGTTAAAGCAAAGCACTACGGCCTCATTATCACGCTGCTTTCTATTCAAGGACTCTACCTCAGTTCCCCCAGCCTGCTGTGTCCTGCCTTTACTGTTCCACTCTGGCTCAGTGGCCATGGCTCAGCCTTGTACCACCCGGCTGACACCTAAGAACCTTCTCTCCTCTCCTGCGTCCCCCAATTATTGACAGCCTCTGAGAGAACCCTGAGTTTGCACCAAGAGCCGTCCACTTCTGTCACAGTCAAGCTCCAAACCCTCCAAGCACTGTAAACAAATAACTGTGTGCAACAAAGCACGGGCAGAGAGGTAAGAGAAGGGGTGTAGTAAATGTGCGCACAGACCTGGCACTCACACCAGGGCACTACCAAATAAAGCATTTGAGGCAAGTACCAACTTTTCCTAAGAATGTGTTTGTTGCTGGGATTGTAACTGCTGGACTAAAATGATAACTGTATCTGAAGCCTCTTGAGGAGACAGTGGTGGGGGCGCCCGCCTGTTGCTGCTTCTAATCAGCACTGGCTGCTGCTTCACCTGCAGATTTCCTTACTCACTGCAGGGTGCAGAGATGCAAGCTGCAACAGATGTGGCAAGGGGTCTGCTGAGAAGGTGGTCTCCTATATTTGAGACAATTTAGCTAGCATGAATGCATGGGGATGTGCAGTAGTTCCCTGCTGACTCCTGTTTTATCTTCAGCGATGGGCTAGCCCTGCAAGAGACAGAATCCAACTAATTTGGAAGAGCTTTCATTTCTCTGCCTTGCTGGACTGCAGCAGATGCTGTCCATATTTCTGTGTGCCTGTGCACACGTGTGTGCTTGCTTGGAGCATTGCCCAGGTGCACGCATATAAAATGCATGTGCATACAAGCCTATGTAGGAATATGCTTGTATGGCAAATACCTACCTGGTGTGTACGTGCACATAGTTATACTTTGATGTAGCATAGACAGATATAAATTTTGGCTTTGCTCTTAATATTTGCCATAACATTCTGTTAGCTTAGTGTAAGGAAATAAAAGAAGTTCCTTCCCTCATAATACACGCCGGGGGTGGGGGGAAAAGAACAAAACAAAAAGCTTTCCCTTTTTTGGCACTACGCTTCACCTCTGTTGTTCTGCGATGGCAGCCTTGGCTTGACCTCGCTGCTGGGCAATTTTCACAGAGATCCTCTCTCCCAAGAATGTAACTGCCATTTTCCTAAGTTTGACGGTATTTTCTGTTTGTGAGAGTTACAAAGCATATTCCTAGGCTACTGCAGGCCCGAAAACCAACAGCTCACTATGCTGAGAAACACGGACCTGCCTTCCAATTCCTGATACCCAGATGTGTGGTATGGTCTTGCATGGGCTCTAGTGCTCGGCCAGCCCTTCCCTCAACTAATTCTACTCAGGGAAGGAAAAGAGAACTTTGGGGGTTACTTTCTTTTGTATCATTCTTCTGTATCATTTCCCTAGCTCCCCTTTTGCCCTTCACTTAAGGCACAGATGCCTCATCACTGACTCTGTTTTTTTCTTCACTACTCACTGCTGTTTTTTCGCTGCAATGAGACATCGAGGAACCAACATTGTGCCGGCCTCCCCAGTGCGATGTTGCCCTACAGTAAGCTTGTGCTCTATTTAGAAGAGAAATAAAATTCCTCCCTGCTGATTCAGTCCACCTCATTCTAGGGAAGAAAAATCACTCAAAGTATTTGAGTATTTGCTGTACCTTGCAAAAGCTTGCTGCCATTTTTCCCTCCTGCCAGGGTGTGTGGCTGGGAGTGTGCATTGTCTGCTATTTCAGCTGTTGTGTGATCTGTAAAGCATTTTTTTTCCAGCTGGGCTGATTGATAGGTTTTTTGGGGGGCTGCTTCCTTTATAAGGCTTTAGTTCCTTCACTCATCTCCTCTCTCTCTCTCTCTCTCTCTTTTTTTTTCTTAATCTCAGAAATAGCAACTCTTGTCTGCCTGTTTTTTTCTCTCTTCCACACTAACTAAAAAGAGAACAAAGATTTCTTGAAATAATATTCATAATGGATTTCTCTCTCCGCACTTTGAATGGCGAAGAATTTGGGATTAACTAAGCAATAAAAAATAAAAGCTAGAAACAATCTGACAAAAATCAGTAAATCTTTCTCTCTCAGTTCCTGAGCCTCCATTCTCTTGGCTTTTGTGATGTTGCCCCTTCACAAGTTTTCTAGAGTTTTCCAGCATAAACAGGACTTCAATGTCTAAGGTAAAAATGCTAAACAACACCTAACAACATGAAAAAAAGAGAGCTTTCTTCCTACAGATCGGAAGGAGGCTAAAATAGCGCCACTCACTTTATTTTTTTTTGCGAGTCATCTTTAATAGCTGCCATATTTCCCCCAGAATAGGCAATGGTGGCTTCACAAGATCTCCCTGAGGTCTCTTGCCACTGACGTTAATCACAGCTAAATTATTTCTTCACTCTGTTTCTTAGTTTACTACTGCAAAATGGTGCTACTAACACTCACCCATATCCAAATAGCTTGTGATGTTAAAATATTCATTGCTAGCAAATCCTTTGAGATCCTTAGAGGTGAAGTACTGAAGTCATGCAAAGTGCTTTTCTAGCAAAACCAACCTCCCATCTAAAAATCACGTGCACATACATACATTATAGAGTCTCATCTTATATTTTGTCTCAGCGATGCATTTCAGCTCATCTGTGTAAGAGCAACCAATACACAGGTCCAAATTTAGAATTCAGCCACAAATAATGTATTCTAAACTTAGCATTATTATTAATATCAGCAAGAACAAATCTGCAGTATTTGAAAACTGTGTTCCAGATTGATGCTTGAGGATTTTATTTGAATCTCATGAGAGTCACAAGACTAGGATGAGAAAAACATTCAAAGTAGAAATTTGCCTTGTTTGTGTGCCTCAATGCTACAGAAAATCAAAGATACCTTACTTTATGATAATGTTCTTATCTATCTTTTAGGGGGGAAAAGAATCATAGAATGCTCTTAGAATTTTGCTCATATGAGCATATTTGCTTCTATGAGCTTAGAATGCTCATAGAATTTTGCAAAAATTCAAACTACAGTGAAATAAAACCAGATGTGGTAGACACAAAATAACAGTGGATTTGTCCTTCTGCATGACACCCATTAAAAATAAATAAATAAATAACCATTCCATTGATGCTTTGAATAGTCTAACCACCGAGAGCAGAAACTCTCTCTCAGAATAAGACTGTCTTGCACATCTTTTCTTTCGTTCTGTTTATAAAGGTCATGGACTGGTGCTTTAATTCAGTTTGGGACTGTCACAGGAATACAGCCCCGCCATGCACTTCTGTGTCTGTAGGACCATTCATTTGAGTGCCTCATTCTGTTGCATCCTATTTCTGGAGGCAATAGCAAGGTGCAGTTAAATTTGAGCCCAGGTTTTAGACTTGGAATCCAGAATTGGATTGGTTTTGAATGTGCCACAGTTTATATGGGTATGTGTGGGAGGTGAGGGCTTGGGGCTTATTTAGAGACAGGTTTGAATCAGCTGTAAAATTTAGAACTAGCAGGTAATTCTGTTCTGGAGCTTGGTATAGTCCCAATTTTTATCTGTTAAAGTTTACTGCAATAAACTCAATAATTGGAGGACAGCATAATGAGATTCAAGGAACTTATTCCATATTTCATTTGCTGATTAACTTTTTTTTCCCAATGTTCCTTTGTTATGTCCTTTTAAATCATCTTAACTTATCCCACTTTCCCAGGCTCTTTTATTTCCATTTTCTCTCATTTTCAAACTCATCTCTTTTTCTTCACTCTCCCTTGTTCTTCTCAGGCTTGGTGACTAGTTCTCTCCATCTCCTCGAATCACTTGTCATTCCTCAGCTGTCATGCATCCTTTAAGCCCTAGCTTTTTGTCTCCTTATTAAAAAGGCTGTCACTCTAAAGGGGTTTTTGTTTTCAGCTTTAACACAACATGTTTTTATTATTTTAACATTTGACTTCAGCAGAAAGAGACAATCAAAGGGCTTGACTGTAAACTTTTAGATTTGGCTGTGTTTAAGATTAGATTTGACTGTGTTCAAGATTTACTGTGGCTATGAACAGGCAAGCACTTCCAGAATAGGGTTGAAAGGGTTGAAAGTCAGGTCCTGGTGGTGGTTTGTAGTGGGGTGGAAAGTAGATGTTTTCCTGAGTTCTCGGTTACAGTGTCATTATGTACTTACTACACAGATAGGTCTTTGTGAGAACAACCTGGACGTCCCTTTACCCTCTCCCATACTTACTGTAAAGGTATAGACTGGCATTTGTGACTCCCAGCTTGTTGGCAGCCACGCAGGTGTAGTTCCCATAGTGTTCTTCAGTGACGTTGGCCACCATCAGCAGAGACTGGCTCCCCGTGCTCTTTATCTCCAGCCCGTTGGCGCTGTTTATCCTGGGAAGACAGCAGAAGAGGTGTGCAGTGCAATGGCAGTTATACTGGGGAGGAAATCATTACCCAGCAGAAGGTAAACCAAAATAGTTCAGGCCGGCTGATGGGTGAGGATGGGGAGAGGCAGGAAAGAGAGGTGAGAAGGGAGCCGAAGAAGCTGTTGAAGAAAAGCAGAAGAAGGGAATGAAAGAAGAAAGAGTGCAGTGGAGGGAAATGCCACTGGAGACCAGAGGAGAAACCATGTGGAGAGAAAAACTGGGGGAAAGAGAGGAGCCCTTTATCTAGCACTGTCTGACACTTGGAAATGAAGAGGTCAGCTGCAAGCTAGCCTGCATTTGGAGTAAAGGCTTTTAGTAGAAGACACTAATCAATGTGTTCTAATGAATGCGTGTAGAAAAGTCAAGTGACCTCTGAGCTTGTGCACAGAGGTCAGCTTGAAAACCACGTTAATAAAGCTACCTTTTTTAATGGAAGGTAAGTTCTCAGGTATAAAGGACAGATCCCTGTTTCTCATATTTGGCCCACATGCAAATCTAGGTGGCTCAGGTCACACAGGTGGGAGGGTCCTATAGTTCAGCAGCATCTTCCCCCGGATGAAGGCAGCTAGAGTGGTGTTAACTACTTGGAGACTTAACACTGCCTATTTTTGCATTTTTTGTATTTTTATCATGAGCTACTTAATGCATTAACTTTGTCAGGAAGAAAGCACTTCTGATGTCTTAATTGTGTATTGGTTCATTACTGACTTAAAGGTAAGAGCCCAACCCTCAACATTTTCCTCTGTGTTTTGGTTCAGAGGGGAATTACTTCTATCATCCCTGGACATCGTGACTTTGACTAAGCCGATGGGACAATCATGAGTTGAGTGGAAACTTATTTGAGGAGAAGAGTTGAGGAGGTCAAGAAGTGATTCTCTAAGGAGTCCCTATTGCATGGACCAGAAAGGAAAGAAAGGAAGAGGGTAGCTAGTGGCCTTACCTGGTGTCATCTCTGTACCACTCAAAATCAGGTGTGGGCACTGCTGACGCCTCGCACCGGAGTAAGGCTTGTCGTCCTGTGGCCGCTTCGTTGCTCTTGGACTCTGTGATAGTAGGAGGGTCTGCAGGAAAGAAACACCTCATTTTACCCATTTGCAGGTGGAAAGAAAGAGTGAAACTACACCTGGGCTGCCTCTCACATGTGAACCCTTTGGGCTGATGGAGGCTCACAGTTGCTGCTTTCTGTGACTCACTCTCTCCTCTGCCTCTCGAACATACCTGCTCTTTGAACTCCCCCTAATACAGTACATTAGCACCACTCTTTACTCATGCTTCTTCACAGTGGTACTGAATAAGGCTTTGTGGTAAACACACAGGCATATGCAGACAGAGTTAAGGTTAATAATGGCTTCTGTAGTTTATGAGTATTTACTTGTGCATCTGTAGATCACATAGGCTCATCAGAGAGAAGAAGATGAAGGAAGGACTTCATCAAGGGCAAAAGCAAGACAGCAGAAGTAAATGGAAGAAGCTAGGAATTAAACATTATTGTGAAAAAACATTCTCTGTACAACCTTTGTGTCTAATGTCAAAACTACAATAAGAAAGGAAAGGACCAAGGACACATATATGAGGCAGAAATATATTCATGGCTAAAATGAAAGGGCTTTAGCAGGAGATGGGGGTGACCAACAACTCTGAAAACCAAGCCACTTATTAATGTGCCTATCTCAGGTATCTAGGGATACAAAATCTGCCCAAACCTTCCTGAACATTTTGCTTTGTCACCTGCTCCAGCAGGGTTTGTCTGCGATCATGGCGCACGAAGCCTGTCCTCAGCACACCTCATCCCCTGGTTAATTTGAAGCCTGAGAGTTGTGGTATGGACAAACAAAACTTGGGAGAGATACCAGTAAGCTCTGCTGTAGCTGGATCTCAACACTGGATCAGGGCCAGGTAGGGCAAGCTTGGGTGCCTTCACTTGCAGCCCTATGTTCAAAATGTTAAGTGACAGGCTTTGCAGGTTAAAAGGCAGAATCATGTCCACCTGGCTGCTGACAGGAATCAGAGAATAAGTGTCTTATCTATCATCACTAGTACCTGAAGAGCATGAGATTCTGGGGTTGCAACTCAGATGTCTACTCTGCTGACACTCGAGTCAGCATAAAGCACACTATGTTTAGAGAGTAAAGTTCCTTCTCCTGTATCTGGCATTGAAAAGCAAAAAAGAAAAAAAAATCAAAATGGATCATGTCAGTCAAAGTAAAAATAATTCAGTCTGGAAAATATATGGAAAGGAACTTTGTTGTGAACACATTAACCATCTCAGTGTGATCCCTTTCCTGACCTTAATCAGGATTTTATGCAGGACTTTAGGGATATTGCAGTGTGCCCTCTAACATCATAAATATTAATAAGCGTACATAAATAGGATCCCACATTCAAAGGCTGTGGGTTCAAGTAAATATTTTAATTCAGGAAGGAGGAGGGGTAATAAAAGGATAGTGAAGGTGATTTTTTAAGCATCCTTCTTGGGTTTATTTTTGTTCGGGGTGTGTGTCTTCTTGTCAACGGCAGCGAGACAGCCCTTTTCCACTTCAGTGAATCCATGAGACGTGTCAGGGAAGGAGCAAGCACCTTTCTACGGGGCTAGAAGATGACAGCACTAGGCCAGTTCCCTCAGCATCCGCTCCTCTGCTTCCCACCAGCAAGCTCAGCCTCTCATTTTCAGCAGTCCCGGTAGCAGCCATGGTCCTGGGCTTTCTAAAGAAAACAGCCCAGGTGGATGCACAGGACAACCTCGGCAGCTACCTTTCTCATTAAGGTCTTACTGTCCCTGATGACACCGAGTGCCCAGCAAACAGCAGTTGCCACACTGCAGCACTCCTTCACAAGAAGTGCTAAGGCACAGCTGGGGGCCCTGCACAAATTAATACAGTGTTCTCAGAAAGCAGCTGCTCTGTGTTTAGTTGCATGCTGTGGGAGAAGCCACGAGTCGGTTGTCCTTAGGGCTCTCAAATCTTCTCTGGGCCTCAGTTTCCTGATCTGTAATGTGAAATGGCCATTACTCACAAGGCCTGAAGATGGTGATGTAGACCCAAGCAGAGAGATGATGATGCTTTCTCTTGCAGTCGGAGCTGACAAGCTGCATGCTCCACAGTGAAGTGGTGAAGTGAAGGTTGCTAAGAAATGGCCAAGAAGATGTTGAAGGTGGGCAGGTCTCATTTTTCAAGACTATTGTAATTCTCACAATTTCAGCTCCTTATGATGTTGTTTAGGAAAGCAAGATAAAGAAAGATGCATGCAAATGTCTAGCTGTCATTCCCTCAAAAGGACTGATTTTTTTTTTCCGTGCATGGCTCTCATGACCTCGGAGTTTTTTGCTTTCTTCAGAAATAAAAGATTTGTCCTGAGGGAAATTATCATTTGTTCACATTTGGATTTCAGGTACATTCTAATGTTATGATACTATATCAGATTATGATACAGTATCTATATTATATTATGATATAACAGTAAAAATTTTAAAAATCTTTGTTTAGCATAATTATCGGGAGTTGAAAGAAAGTCAAAAGCAAACATTCCGACTTTATACAGACAATCTGTTTCAACCATGTTAAATTCATCATGTAAAATATGTTTCGCAGAAATATTTGGAAATATTATTTGCTTCTTATTGAATGTCTAAGGTTTATAAACTCAGCTGTTTTTGACAGAAGAAAACTTCAATAGCTTTAGTTCAGAAAATCTGTTACAAGGCCTTGTTTCCATTTGCATTGAGTGGATAAATGTGTAAAGCCAAATGGATCTGTTTAACATGGAGAATTAATCCGGAGTGTCAAAGTCATATCAATGGCAAAATGCAGCCCAAAAAGCAGCCTTTATTCAACAGCCACTGTACAATTTCTAAGACAATTCTAACCAGAGTGTGGACTCTGAAGATGCTGGAAGAGAGCCCAAAAGTCATCCCAGTAACCCCTACTTTAAGCAAAACACGTATTGACCAGATCTTAAAGCTCAATGGGAAAGAAAGAGAAGCAAGAATGGTGCAAAAAGGTGCTAAAATAACATGATGTGGCAAAATAGACTGGCATGGGCTGAAAGACTTGTTGCTGTTAGCTTTCTGCCCTGACCTCTTTCTTGGAGATTGCTACCCTTTAATAAAGGATGGCTAGAAAGGATGCACGTGCCACCATGTCTGTTTACCTTCTATATTACTAATGTTTATCATCTCCAATTTAAGCTTAGATTAATATTCTGGTGTATAAGCTAAGCAGGTCAGGAGAAGATATGCCTTTCATTCACCTATTCCTGCTATAGAGGCATTAGCCACCAGCAAGGAAACAGAGGAGGCAGCTAGGGGTATCTATAAATATTGAGGTGGACATCCAAACACTGTATTGTAAGAGCAAAAGCAGTCTGGAATACGTTGTATTACTCTCAGGAAAGCATGCCTGCAGTGTGAAAGCAGACATGTGCCTACGCAGGTACCAGCAATGCCATCCATCCCTGGCCCACTCACTAGAGCAACACAGGACTCGGATTCATACCATGCTCTGAGTGTGGGGTGTAGAGGTCAGCCACATAATCTAATTGTGCCTGCAGGCATTTTTAGGTGGACAGTTTACGTCTTAACCAAAATCTTCTTTGGTTAAGACAATTTATGTATTGCGTAAGCACATAGACAATCTCTCTTAATGAGAACTTTATGCCAATAACCTAAAAACAGCATGAAAAGAAAGCTTTCACACCCTTCATTAAATGGATACCTGTAAGGCATGATGATACCCACCCAGGTAAGCCCTGCCTACATGATGGGGTGCAGGCAGGCCTGTGTTTGCTCTGAGCTGGCTGAACCGTTACCTATTCTTGTTGCAATGTTGCAGCTTATCTTCAAGCTACTGTTCTCCTGAATATCAGTGAACATAAACAGGGCATCACTAGCATTTCGGAGAAGACAGAAAGGGGTAGCTCACAGTTTCTCTCTTTCTCCCTACCTCTCTCTCCCTCTTTCCCCTTTCTTCAGTATATACTACCAAGCTTAACATGCAAACAATCCTGGAATATGTCTCTGATTTCGGATAGTTTCCTAAATCCCCCCCACACATTCCAGATGATATTATATGAACTTGGAAAAGGCTTCTTTTCTGAATGTCAGTCCAACTCATATGCAAAGCTCTCCCCATAGACCCACTCCAGTTGCAATGTACTCACAGTTCACAGTGACCCGGACTTGCTTGACATCTGCTGAAGCAACCTCATTGGCAGCTTTGCATTCGTACTTGCCCGATTGCTCTCGTGTGATTCCTAGGATCTCCAGGTACTCTTCCTCACCTTCAAATTCTCTGCCTGGTAGGACAAAAAATGCAGACAGTGGTTTGGTTAGACACATAGATTTAAGGAATCTTCTGTTTAATTGCCACAGAGGAACAACCCCAAGAGGAGTTCTGCAAAGAAAAAACAACTATCTGGGGAGCTATTCTGAAGTTACTTCAGTAGCCATATCAGTAAGATACTTGCATTTTATCTAGTTAAGGAAAACTCAGGGTCTAAAAATCTGAAATATGCTGTGCATAAAAGTGGTACAAAAGTATTTTTTCTCACAGGGAGACAGAGAAGCAAAATCTCCACCACATGAGGCCCAGCTCTGCCTGACAGGCTGGTTCAGGAGTAGCTGGTAGACATTATGGTATATTCTGGCAGCAATCTTTTGGCCACACAAAACTATGAACAATTTCTTTCTGCCTCTCAGAGCAACAGCCACCCTGAAGTACTATTGATCAGAAGAAGCTGCAGTTAAACATGGACGAACTGAGAGAAACAAAGTGTAATTTGATCCACGGAGGCCAATAATCATTACAACCCCCTGATCTACTGTACATACAAAATGTCACATTTGAATTGTGCTGCCTCTCTAACACAGTTTTGAAAGCAGTGACTTGAGCATCAGGGTTACAGCCAGGGGCAGGAGTCAGGGGAGGCTTGTGGCCTTGCTTTTAATTCACTGTATGACCTTGGGTGAGTCACTCCATCGCTCTCCCTCTGTAAATTGTGGCTAATAACCCCGCTCCCCTCTCACCTGCTGGTCACAAAGGGGTAGGGAGGTTAATGTATGTAAAACACATTAGAATCTTTGGATGAAAGGTGCTGGGGAAGCATAAAATATTAGGATTAGTATATCCAACCTATTGCTTTGGAAACCAGACTGTGGTTTTCCTGGGAAGACTATGAACTATGTTAGATGGGAGATTCTTTGCTCCCCTGAGGAGGCTGCGGGCACCGCTTGGCAGCATGCACAGCACAAGCTGTAATTGCCTGTCTCTGCATATAGAGACAAACTGCCCCCAACCCCTAAAGGATAAGGGGCTTTTTCTCAAAAATAGGTGAACACAGTAGGGCTCTCATTCAGGCTCCTAGGACAGCAGCCAGATTTTCCAAAGAAACTCTCTGCCCAGAAGATATTTTCTGTTCGGTGGATGCTGATCACTTCTGAAATTCTGGCCATCTCCGGTAAGTGCTTAAGTTGTTTGATGGAGTTTGGACAGCGCCTGTGAGAACTGCGCTGCTGTCCTTGGCCCTGAGGAGCTGCGTAAAAGCTGTAATTAAGCCCCATCTTTGGAGGAGGAGTTCCCATGGTGCTACCCGAAATGGCAGCATTATTCCCACAACACAGGCACTCGTTTCTGCAGCAGATTAGCCAGGCCAGGCTGGCCGCACACACCAGGGATGCCAGCTGTACACATTTGCCTTCGGCATCAGAGATAGGGACTTCAAGAACTTTGAAATCTGCTGACAACTCTGTCCCCTAAACAACCATTTTTGCCTTCTTTTTTTTTTTTTTTTTTTCCTTCAGGCAATTTTCAGAACCGTCCTTGGGGAAAACCATCCCCAGACGTGGAAGCTCAGCATGAAAACAGCACTGTACTTATTATCATGCAAAGAGAAGCCTTCCCTCCACTCCCCCCCTGCTTTTTTTTTTTTTTTTTTCAGTAGGGCTATCCAGCAATTCCTTTTGCAGCTTCTACCAGATGTTTGGGTGAGTCAAAATCTCATTGCTGCGTCTAAAATTTATAACCGCTCTGATGCTGGTTTTCATATCCCCTAGCAGTCTGGCAAATGGCCTTGCTGTGTGGCAGCAGTGCTTTTTACAAGGTAGGGAGGCAAAGCTGCCTCCTGCTGCACATCCAATGCTCCCAGGGCACACTCGCAACCTTTTGCTGTGCCCTGGGTCTCAGGCTATGGGGAACATAGTGAGAGGCTGTAAAGGATGATGTAGGGCTGGATTTTTAGAGGTGCTCTTTATGGACGTGACTCTGCACCCATGAGGAGGTTTGGGAATCTGTTCTTCTTTCGCTCCAGTAGGAACAGAGTTCTAGTGCTTTACTTTTAGCATTTGAACAGTTTTCCTAAAGTGTGACCTGAATCTTCCTCACTGTGTTTTAAAGCCATTATTTTTGTCTTAGCCACTACAGAACATAAAGAACAAATCATTCCCTTCTTCTCTGCAATAGCCTTTTATCAACTTTAAATCAGTTATGTTCCTCCCTCAGTTGACGTCCTTTTCTTCTTCTTTTTTTTTTTGTTTTCTTCTTTTTTGATGAATAGTGCCAGGTCTTTCAACTCCACTCTGCAGGTGAGGTTTTCTAGACCTTTGATCGCTCTCGTTATTTTGTTTTAGACCTCTTTGGCTAGCTCACATTTTCAGAATTGTTTCATGTTTTTTTGCAACACCCCAACTTTAGCGCAAGATTTCAGATGAAGTCTTCTATGATGACTGAATAGAGAGCAAGGGCTGCATCACAACTTCTGCACTGTGCTGCTGTCTATATAGCCAGTTCACTATGGCTTTGCAACAGGACAGTTCATATTTGGTTCGGACAGGCTTTAATCCCCAGATCTTTTTATAACGTACTCTAGTGCTTCTTGAACACATCACCCCCAGCTGGAGCCTACAAGCAGAGGTCCCCCTTCCTTTATGGCAACACTCCCAGTTGCAGGTCAGTCAGCTGACTGCAAAATAATCAGACAGCAGGGAAAGGTTTATGAAGAAAAGGTTAAAACATAATTTGCCTGTGCTTTGCAAATCACTTTCTCTGCCATTCTGCCTTGTTTAGACACAGGGTTCATTCCAAGTGGTACTTGCTTCTCCTGCAATTTGCCCTTGTCACCAGTCCGTCACTGTAATGAAAAGAGGGTTGAGGGTGACTTCCCTGCTCTAATGGAGTGGCACCCTCATTAAGGGTGCTGTTAAGCCTGTCTCTCAGGAAACCACATCAAGGGGACTCCAGGAAGTACCCTAGAAAGGTGTATAGTTTCCCAAGGGAAGCTATTTTTCAGCTCCTCTACACATGTCCATGCACTTGGAAGTGCATGTGTGCCACGTACAGCAGGGTGGGTTTTGAGCAGCCCTATACAACCCTTGCCAACAGTGAGGGGATGATGAGCCACTGGCTTGTCCAGTGGATCTCTCTGGGGATGGGTGAAAGCAAGGACATTTGTTTTAAAGGCCATATCAAAGATATCAATAGGCCTATTCAGCCTGTCATTTCTCTCTGCCCCAAGACACACATATAAGCGTATCACTTCAGGAACAGTTTCTGTGACAGCTTCTTTCTCTTGCTAAAATAGTGGTAGCGCTGTTCTTGTTCCTGCACCAGTGATCCGTATTTCAACCCCCAGCAGCAATATTTTGCTCTGTAAACTCAGTTACTCTCATTTGCACGTCACGCCCTTTTGCTTGCAACCCTGCACCCTATAAAAATACATTAACCATTTCTAAAAAAAGAGCATCACTATAAAATTGAGGTGTCATAGAACTGATCAGAGAGAGAAGAGATGTACCATAGTGCGTTAGAAAAATGTCAGGTTGTGATATCTTGCACAGAGCTGTAGAGATGTTTTCACTAATTCACCTTGGCAGCCAGATTAGGTAAGTCATATTAACTCTAACCTCTAAGGCAAAGGGAGGAGTAGGGGGAAAGCAGGAACAGATCTTTACACACAGAGCAAGTCCACAAATGTTTCCACTCAGGAGGCAGATTTGGCAGGAGGCTGATGGTTGTCGCTACACAGTTTATCAAAGCAGGAGGGAAGGAGGATTGAGCGATGCTCTTTGGTAGAGATAACAATGAACATATTCAATTAGGTGAGCGGAGGCAATGCCAACTCCTGGCAAGCAACCTCTGTTCCTATTAGCAGAAGACGGCGCTGAGCACATTACGCAGGGATGAAATCCCGACTCTCCTGCCAAACCTTTCTCACTGGTGAGGACTGTCCCCTGCCTGTTTTTCTGCCGGGTTGGTGATGACGTGTTCCAGTGAGGGCACTGCTCTCTCTTCATCCCACAGCATCTCCCTCAGGACTCTTGCTAACCTTCCTCCCAGTGGGATTCTTGTCTTTCACGTACTCATGGGTAGCTCATGAGTTTGTTGCTGCAGCCCTGCTAAACACCACATAGGCCTTTCGGCACAGGGATCTTCAGCAGGCACCTTGGACACGTGCAAGAGGAAGCTTCGAAGACCATTTGCATCAGCCACACTCCCCATCCCCTGGCTCTCTAACTGCACCCGTTAAAGTAGACAAGTGAACCGTCACAGAAAACCTGCTCAGTAATGCTGACGCGCTGTCAGGAAGCCCCATTTGAACCCGTACCTGGATATCCCTCATCTCCTTTCCCCTCCGTACAGACCTATCCTCATACGACCCCGTGCCCATGTCACCTCAGCGCCACCCCGCCTCTCGCCCGCCGTTGATGTGCACAGCCACTGATGCCCACGTACAGCCTCTCACAGCCCATACGTGCAGAACTGCAGCCTTATGCCTTCCCCGTGGGTCCATGGGCCTTTGCCGCCTCTTCCCAAAAAGCCCCTTGCGCCACCACACACCATCCCTCTCTCCACAAAGGCCAAACTATTTCCGTGGAGCAACGCAGCTCAGCCAAACAAAACCACGTTTGTGCTGAGTGCGGGCAGCTCATTCAGCCGACCGAGGCACGGGCAACATGCTCAGTCGTGTCCTCTAACAGACAGGCCTTTCTCTTCATGGCCTAGTTCCTAAAATACCCAAAGGGGAAGCCGGTCCGTAGAGAAAGCAGCTATACTATGCTCTGTCCTATACTGTTGGTGCCTCAGACACTGAGCTCTTTCTTGTGCACAAATCCCTTTAGTTCTTTTCTTTAATACTGCTGTGTTCTGAAACTAAACTGTGGTTCAGACCCACTGAAAGTATCTGCTTGCATTTGATATGTGCAAAAGGCGACCAGATAGCCTGCTTCTATGTTTGTTTTTCCTCTAAGACTCTTTGTAGCAGTAAAGAGGGGAGTGCAGAAGGGGTTATGCATTCACATTGGG